GGTTAAAGACCACAGAGGCCTGGAGGTTGGCGGGCTCCACGCCCTCGCCCAAGGTGACGAGGAAGTACATGACCTTGCGGATCTTGGCCAATTCCGACAGGCGCTCCCCAAACTCCAGGGCGTCGGCCTCGTTCCAATCCATGGCATCCGAGTCCTCCTTGCGCCAGAAGATGGCAGCGGGCTCCAGCAGCTGGCGCGTCATGAGGTTGGTGAGGTCGGGCGTCCAGTTCTGGGAGGTGCCCGTGATGGTCACCTTGCCCGGCTTGTCCAGCACGACGTCCCAGCGCTCGAACTGCAGCTTCTGCTGCCGCGTGAAGTCGAGGCGGTACACGGACTCGGCGGGCCGCAGCAGCTTCTCGCCGTCCTGGCGCTTCTCGCCGCGCTGCCGCAGGCCCTCGGCGCGCAGCCGCAGCTGCCTGGTCAGGGCCTGGTCCAGGACCAGCGGCATGCTGAGCTGCGGCTGCTTCGCCCCCTCCTCTGCCATGCCGGTGCTGCGCGCCCCTGCCGCCGCCCAGGAGCCGAGGCAAAAGGCCACCAAAGAGGGGCCCCGTCTACCGGCCCACCGTCCCCTCCTCCCCTCCTCTCTAGGCCACTGGCCCTTCCCAGCTCCAACCAGTCCTCAAAACGGGGTGTGTAGGAGGGTGGGAGTCCCCAAATGCCTCCTCTCCGCTCCTCGCAGAAGCGGTAATAGAGGCACTGCAGGCAGGCAGGCAGGAGGGTGACGGGCTCCTCGGGGACCAGATCGCTGATGTCAACTGCTGTGGCAACTACCCTGACTACCACAGACGGGCTGGGAGCCGGCTTGTTTGTGACGAAGGGAGCACTGAATCAGGGCAGGGAGACGGGGAGGGAGGTGGGGAGCAGGTGCTCACTGGAGGCATGCAAGAAGGGCCTAGAAGACCCCCTGGCAGGATCAAAGGACCTGCTGATTTGAGATCTGGAGTCACGGGAGCCAAACCCAGGAACCGTCCGTGACTCAGCATAGCTCGAACCCCTCCACACCCGATCACCAAGGCCTGTCAATTCTGCCTCCCAGATACCCACTGCCAGGGCCCCAGCCCAGCCACCATCGTCTCTCACCGAGACCCGTGTTCTCAAACTTTAGTGAGCATCAGGACCACCGGCAGGACCTGAAACACGGACTGCTGGGCCCCACCCCCTAGAGTCTTGATTTAACAGATCGCTGATGAGGCCTGGGAATTTGCATTTCTCCCAGGTGCTGCTGCTGCTGGTCCAGGGGCTGTGCTTGGAGAACCACTGACTTGGATGATTCTTGTCTGCGGGCCCAGCCTCAACCCTGCACCACATGGCAGCCACATGCCCAGGTTTCTCTCCTGCTAAAATCTCACCTCTTATTCCACCTGTATTGATCCTCAGTTTCCCCCAGGAGGCTTGAGGCAGAGGAAGAATTTGACAAAAGCCTATATCCCCAGTACCTGAGGTGGAACCAAGAGCTTAGCTATTACATGTGGGCAAATGGCTGCCATGGGAACAGGAGTTTAAGGCAGTTGATGGTGAAGGATGACGGAGATATTTCAAGAACTGAGGCGGGGGGATGAGGGCAGGGTGTCAGCACCCGAGCATAGTAACCCCTGGGACATAGCAGTAGAATGGATGGATGGGGTAGAAAGGCTGGGAAACTGGAGGTACCAAGGTCTTGGTGTCTGGGTGGGAGGCCATGGTAGCTGGTTGGCAGGGGATGGCAATAAGGTGGGCTGGGCTGGGGGGAGGGCAAGTGGCATGAGCCCATAGGGGTTTATATGGGGAGGGTATGGCCTGGAGGCAGCACTGAGGGCAGAGAATGCCCACCCTTCCTAAACCTGCAGGACATGGGGGGAGGTGTTCAGCTTCTACTGATGGGAATCCAGGGGCACATGACCCTAGGGAGAGCCTGGCCTCGGCCTGGGCAGAGGGTTACTGACTTGCAGGAGGAGTCTGAGGTGGAAGCTGTCACCAGGACTCAGACCTCACAGACAGACAGGGAAGGAGGGAGAGGCCAGTGAGAACCAGGGAAGCAGAGGAGGGAAGGCAGGGGAGGCTGGAGGGTGCACGTGGGGCTGGGCCCACTGAGGCCCACAGACCTCTGCTCAGCCACTAGGTGCCTTGAGAGGACCCACCAAAGGCTGGAATGACAGAGAGGAGAAAAGGAGCTACAAACTTGAGTACGTGATTGCAAAAGTGTGTATTTAGAAACAAAACAGATAAATAAACACTTCTTAAACACCAAACAGAAAAAAGACTAGAAAGAAAATACTGAAACCCTTGACACTAGTTGTTTCTGGGTAAAGAACATCTTCAGTAACTGTACTTTTTCAAATCTTCTGTCCCCAGTGCCTAGAATGGTGCTGGGGCATAGCTGGTGCTCAATTAATGTGTGTCGAATGACCTGCTAAAGGGCATGAACTGCTCGTACAACAGGGGCAGAGGTGGAATGGGAAACATTTAAATGTAACCAAAAGACTTCCTGGCCCTGCCACCAGGTGCTCTGCCCTAGGACTGCCGGGCCCCCACACTTACTCTCAGACATCCAGGCATCCCACTAGGACTCTGCTGTTACTTCTGCTTCCTATGGCCAGGGGCACAGCTGACTCCTCCTAGGCCCGGGCACCCCATGGCTCAGAGCAGGGATCAGGCCTGCCCTCACCCCCCGAGGCTTCACAGGGCTCTGAGGGAGGTGAACTTCCCCAGCTTGGATCAGGCTAGGCCTGATGGCACATGCCGCACCCCAATGTCACATCCTGATTTCTGGACCCCCTGAAGTCCATGCCCTGCTTCAGGGAATGTGTGGTCAACTTGGGGAGAACATAATGCCCCCTCAAGGAATCCCATAGTGGGGGAGGCCCGCTGCCAAGGGGTGTCTGGCAGAACAGAGAAATAGGCGAGAGCCCAGAGGGGGGACAGGGAAGGGGGTTTAATGGGTTCAAATTGCCCCTTATGCCAAGGACTTGCCCCTCCCCTTCCCCTCGGCTCCTTTAATTTTCAACCCTGTGGACTGGAAAGGTCAGGTTTACACTGAGACCAAGAGAAGGAACATGACCTGCCCAAAGTCACATGGCTAGCAAGGGACCCAGGTTTGGCTCGCTTCCAATCATCCGCCCCAGGCTTCATTAAGAACTGAGGTAACAGACTGGCTTCCTGGAGAAGGGCACATGTGTCGAGGGTGTGATATGCCCACATCTGAGGCTCAGCATCCCCAGAGTGAGGTGGGTGGGGGAAGCATGGGTGCAGGTCAGGCTGAGCAGCCCCCTCCCCATTCCACGGAGAAAACAGGGTAGAGCAGGGGAGGCCCCAGAAGGCCACAGGCCCAGAGGTGAGGGGTGACAACAAACAGGGCCCAGCAGCGGGGACGGGAAGGGAGGTAAGGCACAGTAATGAGCTCCCCAGAGCCTCATCTCTCCTCCCAGGACCCAGGGGCTGTCACCACAACAGCACTTGGAGGCACAGTGCAATCACTCCAGAGCACCCCACCCTGCTGCAGCCCCCTGAGGACACGAGATCTTGGAGCTCAGCCTCCTGGCCCTCGGAGCCTCCAGCCAGGCCAGGTGCCCCAGCATCTGCAGGAGGAACCTCCAGCCCAGAGAAAAACACAGGCCTGCCATGGTCACACAACGTCAATGGCAGGCGTGTCCTGTAGGTTCTGGGCCTCTTTATCCACTCTCCAGATGAGCAGCTGCACCAGGGCCCAAGGCAGGAGCAAGCTGCGGCTCTTCTCTACAAATGACCAGACAGCCCACTCCCCAGGAGGGGACACAGCAGGTCAGGCTCCATCCCCCCGAAGGCCCCAGGATGCCTATGCGGCAAGGTCAGCTGTGGCGCTGCTGGCCAGTAGCTGGGTGGGAAATTACAGGGCAGGGTGTGAGGTGTGAGGCCAGCACTATAGGATTCCAGTGGGCCACCTCCACCCCCAGACTGTCCTGACCGAGCTGAGGGTGGGACTCAGAGGCAGGGGGACCTGGCTCTGGGCTCAGAAAAGGTGGTTGGAGCCCCGAGGACAGCCCTACACCCAGGGAACAGTGCCAGGGCCCCAACCCTCTCTGGACTTTGAGGCCCGTGAGTACAACGATCCCCCATGTGGCTCTCTGAGGCCCCCTACCTCCAACACCCCAAGAGCACCCATTCTGCAGGCCCTACAGCTCACAGCTACCCTATTCCCACAGGACCAGCAGGGGCCAGGCCCCAGGGATGCCCACCCTGGTGTGGCTTTGAGAAGTCACACTCCATTCAGAAGACATGACAGCAGGGCCCCACCATAGTCCCAGCCTTAGCTGAATGCACAGCGTCCCTCTGAGGGACGTCTTAGAAGGTGAGAACAAACTCACTCTGCTCCTCGTGTCCCACTTACATAAGAATACCCACAGAGTCTATGAATATTAATTACCGTAACACCAGTAACGCAGCCACCATTCACAGAGCACTGACTAAGGCCCTCTAAGTACAGTTTCATCCACACAACTCCCTGAGAGGGAGCTACCTGATATCTTGATTTTTCAGCTGAGGATATTTATAAAGCTACTAAATGGTGAGCCTGAGGCTTGCACCTGAATGGTAAGACTGAGACACCCAGTGCTCTTAAGCCCCACTGCTCGCCCTACAGGAAGAGCAGAAAGGCAGGGATGAGAAAGAGGAATGACTTGTATTTGCTGGCATGGGAACCCAGGGTGCAATCCCCGTTGATAATTCTTAAGAGAGCACAAGTTCCCCCTCCACTCCAGCCCCTCTGCCTCCCCGGGAGAGGAGCCCGGTGTCTGATTGAGGGGCTGCACTGCCAACTGTTGCCACAAGAGGGCGAAGTGTCGGGACCGGTGCCCATTCTTTCCCCGCTAAACCCTTTGATGCTGGTCCAGAACATCAGCAGCTTGGAACCAAGAATCGTAGATCACTCTCACTGAACAAGTAAGCAAATTAAGGCCCAGAGAAGAACAAGGNCCAAACCCTTTGATGCTGGTTCAGAACATCAGCAGCTTGGAACCAAGAATCGTAGATCACTCTCACTGAACAAGTAAGCAAATTAAGGCCCAGAGAAGAACAAGGACTGGCCATGTCACACAGCAGGTGCTGGCAGGGGTTTCCTGAGCCCCAGCTAGTGGTCTCTCCACGCTGCAAGCGATTCAGGCAGCTTCCACATTTCTCAAGTACAGATTNGCCCCAGCTAGTGGTCTCTCCACGCTGCAAGTGATTCAGGCAGCTTCCACGTTTCTCAAGTACAGATTTTGCCAAGTGGCTCCAGGGACACTGTGGGCCCCCACAGTGGGGAGGAAACATGTCAGAATCCCTGTGGGAGCTGCACAGATTCCCAGCTGCTGCCTCAGGGGCCTCAGGGACCTCAGACCGGCAGGTGAGGGGAAGGTGATTCTAAAGCTCAGCCGATGCTGGAGAGCCCCGGTGTCACCCCATCCCATCCCCTCCCGGGGCTTCCATAAAGCCTCACCTGCATGTTCAGGCTGCACCTACCCCTGAGGGCAGTCTCTCACTAAGACTCCCCAGCAACCCCCGCTGCACCCTGGTGCTCACCTTTTGCCACAGCGACTCTCGGGAGGCGAGCGATGAGCAGGCTGCCACAAACCAGCAGTTGCCCACCTGGCCCTGGTGCAGGTCGTGGGAGCTAATGCCGTCCACAAAGAGGCGGGGGTCCTCGCAGATGTCCTGCAGAGAAGCCGAGAGGAGACCTCACCGTCAGAGCAGAGATTCACCTGTCTCCCCTTGCAGACTGGGGGCCAGGCGGTTTCCCCAGACCAGCTTCCCCCAGGCGCTGCCTGGACGGCCCTTCTCCCTTCCCCTGGCTGAAGAGCTCTGCTCTCTGCTAAAGGTTCTGCAATGAACGAATACCGTGGAAGGACTTCAGGGGGCTGGACCCTGAGCCACCACCTTTCTCCTGCCCTGTGCCTCCCCTGGCCAGCACGTCCTTCTCCAGCACCAGCAGCCCTCAGGTGCCCACAGTCATTAAGCCGGGTGAGGGCACATGGGGAAACACACATGAAAAGTACATGTGATGAGTGCAGAGGGCGGGAGAAGTGGTGAGCTGATGCACCACGTATGGGCACATCCTCAGACTGTTTCATCTGACCCTCACTCTGCCAGGGAGTGTGACACTGTCATTCCATTTTATAGATGAGGAATGAAGGTTCAGAGAGGGGCAGTGACTTGCCAAGGGCACACGGCAAGCAAATGCCGAACAGAGCTGAAGAGACACCCACAGAACTCCCAGAGTGCCCACCCCAGGCCCGACTTCCTCTCCCATCAGCATCTTCACCTCCACAGAGCTCTAAGGGGGTGTGTGGCTACTGTTGGGGGGTTGGGGGAGGTAAACACTAAGACATACCTTCCCAGTGCCACGCATCCTGCTGGCATTATGATCAATCCTCACCATGGTTCTCAGAGGTGGGTGGGCACTGTGTCCATTTTACAGATGAACAAACTGAGGCCCAGGGAGGTGGAATAACAGGCCACCACATGGGCCTGCTTCCACTTCAGCCTGCCCCCACTTCAGCAGGTGCTCCCAAGCTAGTTTAACCACAACAGGACTACTGAGTTCCTACCAAAGACAGCCAGCAGAGGGTTCCAGAGTCAGGAAGTCAGAATTCAAATTCCTGCTCCCCACTTACTATTGGCTGTGCAACTTTGAGCCTCTCTGAGCCTCTGTTTCCTCCCCTGTGCAAAGGAGGTTATTCTCCCTGCAGGGCTGTGTAAGGATTCCACAGGTCATGGAGGCACAGCACTTGCAGGGGAAAATGGGGCAAAGGGCTATCCCTTCTCACTAAGGTGTCTGGGACCCCTGTCGCCACCTCTGCCTGGGAAAACCAGTGTTTTGGAGGGCCAGATTGAGGGCCATAACTCCCCTGAGGATATGAGTGGCTCCAGATAGGACTTCAGAGTGATAAGTTCAGGGCCAAGCTGCAAGGAGACTTCCCCACATCACAGACGGCAGGAATATTGCCCCAGGTCACAGAACCCCAGCAAGGCAGCTATCTGGAAGTCTTTCTTCCCTCCCCGCTGTCCTCCTTATCTCCCAGCCCAGCACTCTGAGCCAGAGACAGCCATGACTTAGCACCTGCCTCCCTGGGGTCCAGAAGGACCAGCAGGACAGGGATGGATGGGGGTTTCATATCTGGAGGACCAAAGCCATAGCCCACCACAGGAAGAGACAGCTGCAGCCTGGATCACCAGGGTCTGCAGCAGAGGTGACCTCCAAGGCGCTCCTCCTTGTCAGGTCCTCCCAGCCAGGGCCCTGGACAGAAACATGACTGGCTATTCCACAGAGGAGGACACTGAGGCCCAGGAGGAGACAAATGACACCCAAGCTCACCAGTCAAGTATGGGGACCGATGGGACAGAGCCCAGGTCTGCTGGGCTCTCCACCCAGAGCTCTCCTCCCCACAGAGCAGCAACTGTCTCAGCTTGGTCCTGCCACGCCAGAGCAGGGCTGACTCCAGACATTTCTGCAGCTCCAGGGAGAGAGAGGGGGAGAGAGAGACTGAGCTCAGGAGTCAGGAGGCCCGGGTTCCAGGCCCAGCATTGCCCCCACTTGCTGTAGCAAAAAAGAGACCCGGGGCAAATCCACAAGCCTGGGAGGGAGCAGAGAAGAGGTGGACGTCTGAGCATGTTCTCACTGCCAAGAGAGGTTCGGGTTCGCCATCTCCAACCTAGAGAAACCACTTGAGGATGGCAGCACCTGGAGTCTGTCCCAGAGCTCAGAAGCCATCTTGGGGCACCCTAAATGGAACAATCACAGAAAGAGCCCACAATGACTGGGAACCTGCAGTGTCCCCCACACTGTGCAAAATGACCCTGAGAGAGGGGTCCTGTGCGTCCCCACTTCACAGATAAGGAAAGAAAGGCACAGAGAGGTGAAGTCACTTATTCAGGGCCACACAGGAAGAAGTGAACTGAGATTCAAACTCAGGCAGTCAGCTCCAGAGCCTCCAGGTGGGCTAAGATTTATGGGTGACAAAGCCACCCTTCCTTCCCTCGTCCCCCTGTACCTGTTCTTAGCCCAGCTTTGGGGGTCTCACTGTATAATAATGAGACCAAGGGGTCAGGGGGAACCCAGACCCTCACCCTCACCACCACAGGGTCAGGCTTCTCAAGGCCATCGTCTGTCTTTCCACCTGTCCTGGGCCATCAGCTAGGCACAGAGTACAGAGCTGGACAGAGAGGTTCCCAGCCCACAGGCAGGGCCCTTGAGGAGGAAACCAGCTCTCACCCTCCATGTGAGCACAGCTGACAGCAGAACCCAGAGAGATCAGAGGAGGCTGCCTGGAGGAGGTAACCCCAGCAGACCAGGCATGGAAAGCATGGTGGGCAGGGAGGCTCTGGAGGGGAACAGGGATTCCAAATGCCCCCAAGACACAATAGTGCCACAGTCTCAAGACAGCTCCCACTTTGTCACCACCCTCCCCAGGCTCCTGGCCATCTGTGTTCCCTTCCATCACTGGGTCGCAGGCAGGAGCCCTAGGAGGGAGGACAGAGTGCCCTGCAGGACTGGACTGGACAGGCACGTGCTGTGAGCCCTGGGCCAGGCCATCCCCAACCCCTCTTGGGGCACAGCCTTCTGCACCTGCGGCCCCTCCCAGCCCCTCCCAACATGTTAGACCAGTTCCACTAACACAGGTCACTGCTGAGTAACCACCTCCCTCAGCGGCATAACAAGAACTTCAGGTTCCAGGCCCGGTGTACACACAGGAATGCAGCAGACAGCGGATCCAGGGTATCTTCCCCCTTCCTCCCTCTCCCCCTCTTCAACCATTCACCTCACCCCAGTCACCTCCCCTCTAGAATCTCAGCTCACAGCAGAAATTGACCAGACAAGTGGGCAAGAGGCCGAGGAAGGAAGCAGGACCTCCGCCTAGGACAGAAAACCAGGGCAGTGCTCTCAGGGGTTACAGCTTGCCCTCCCCCAACTCCTGCAACAGACTGGCCTCCCACCCCCTGCTCCCCACGGCAATCCCATGAGAGTATCATATCTCATGGAGGGGATCATTCCTGGGCAGGGCAGGGGCCCAGGTGGCTGGCCTTGCTGCAAACCACCTGTTTCGTGGCATAAAGGGGCTATTGTTCAGCACGGCCAGGAGGGGGCCTCCTCCAGGTGCTGGTATGATGAGCATGAGGCTGGGGACCAGCAGGTCACCTTGGGAGAATTCTGGGAGGCTCCAAAACTAACATCTCTTAGTAGAACCCCCACTGGTTCCCTTCTTGGTCCCACCAACGGACCCGCAGGCTTACCTCCAGAGACAGGGGAAGCAGAGTGCTGGATAGAGGCTGGGGGCTCTCTGCCTCCTCAGGGATGAGAAGGGGCCCCTACTAAAGGCTCTGGGCCTGAGAGAGAAGGAAGCGCACCCCCCTTTACACGGGGATTCCCTGAGTCACAAGCCTTGCTGACGTCCCCCCTTTTATCTCCCTGGCCTGGCTGGTGGAGAGGCCAGCAGATGTTTACTGAACTGGAAGGAACAAAGAAACAATGAATCTGGGGGAGGAGGAGGGAGAGGGGGAGGATGCCCTGGCTGGTGCCATGGTGGGGATGCCCGGGATGGGGACTGAGAAGCACTAGGCCTGGCCCCACCTGCAGAGCCCATTAGAGATGGGACTTTCCAGGCAGGGCCAGCTCTGGGTCCCCAACAAAGGGTTGGCAGGTGGGTGAGAGAGGGGAGCCAGTTTGTCATCTGTCTGCCATGTATCTGACACCACAGATGCCTCAAGTCATTGCAACCTCCAGAAATCATGATCATGAGAATTATTCTCTCCATTTACAATGAGGGAACTGAGGCCCAGGGAGGGGAAGTGACTTGCTCAAGGTCCCACCTCCTGAAAACCAGCCATTTCATTCCATTTGGGAAGAAAGGCAGAGGGAGGCTGGCAGGCAGGGAGGCTGAACAAGGAGCTCCCCAGGAACACAGAGGCCGCGATACCCACGACCTACAGAGAAGGAGTTAGAGATGGGTGGGAGTGAGGAAGGGTGTCCCTGGGCTGTTGAGAAAGTTGGCTGTTTGTAAACAGTCAGGCCGCAGGATCCAGGAAGTGGGATTCCACAGAAATACAGCAGCCGCAGTGCAAGTTCCATCTCGCTGGCCAAGGGCCAGGTGGCCAGGAGTTAATGGTCACCCTGCTTGGCCAGTCTCAGGCCACCTGCCAAAGGCAAGCCTGGCCTAACTTCCTGTTCCACCAACCCTCCAACCTGTCAGTGGCATGAGGGCCTGCCCCGCACACTGGCACTGCCACCACCCCGCAGGCACTGCTGACAAGGACGGTCCATCACACCCTGGCCCACATGGTCTCCCCTCCTCCACACCACTCGGCCATGCCTGGCCCTGAGTTGCATCCCCAACCCGGAGGGGAGCTGATCCCCCACCGCCGTCCCTGTGCCCCCCGCTCAGACATCTCCCTCTCAACACCAACCACCACATGCCGTGTGTCACCAGCCTGCGCATCCAGGACAGGGGCAGCTCTGCTCCTTCTCTTTCAGTGTCTGGAAAGCACCAGGCACCAAGAGCAGGGAGGAAGGCAGTGAAAGAGAAGGCAGTGTGGCAGGGAAGGAAAGAGGCCCAGAGAGGGCAGATGACTCTGCTGGGGTCGCACAGCAGGGGGATGCTGAGCCCACCCGCCTGGCATTTCCTCCTCTCAGGGCACCAAACCCACACTCCCCAACCAGGCCTCACCAGCCTCCTTCACAGCCATAGACCTAAACCGTCTGGGTGACGGCAGAAGGGCAGCAAAGGGGTGGAGTGAGAGGAAGGCAGAGAGCTCGAGTGTCTCCCCCTCCTCCTTCCACCCAAGGCCTCACAAAGGCCCTTTGAGGCTAGCTAGCCTCCTTCCCTATCACCAGACAAAGGAGAGAGAAAGGCGTGGGAGAGTGGGGTGGCCCAAGAGGCAGGAATCATGTGGCCAAGTCAGGAGGCTGCTGGGAGTTCTGGAGAGCCAAGGCAGGGCCCAGCGATTCTAGTATGGCTCATGGGGCTGAAGTCAAAGGCAGCAGGGACCCTTTATCTGCTGTCAGGGAGCTGGGTTCCTGCCCAGCTCTGCTGCTGGCTAGCTGGGCAATCTGGGCATCCACCTTCCCCTCTCAGCCTCAGTTTCTTTTCCTTACTCAGTCCAAGGAAATACACAGGATGTTTTGAGTTAGCACGGACTGGGGATCGTAGTGTAGGAGAGGAATATGAAAACTAAATCTTTTTTCCAAAATGTCCAGTTGCTCAGAGTGAACTTTCTAATGTTAATCTGATCTGCACACCCTGCTGAAAGTCTCACCTTCGATGGCCCACCACCTCAGAACACACCAGCCCTATGGACCCGGGACCCCAGCCTCCGCTTCCCTTCTCTCCCCTCCACAAGCCATGCCCCAGTGGCACTGCAACGTCCCAAACATGCTGGAGGGCTTCACGCCTCCAAGTCTTCTTCACACTGTGCTTTCTGCCTGCACAGCCCTTCCTGGCAAACGCTTTCTCTGACTATTGGACAGTGGGAGTCTCCTCCTGGCCCCAAGCACTGGGGTACAGCTCAGTCTCCTGCACTAAAGTCCCTTCTGTGTGACCAACTCTCACAGTGTCACCTCTCACAGTGACTCCAGCAGCCTCCATACATCACCTAGGCCCCCATGAGGCCAAACACTTCCATTAAACATGTTCTAGCCTCAGCGGCCAAGGCCAGGACATGGGGAGCAGCCAGCCAGATGCCACATAATTCGCCATCCTCAAGAGTGACAGTAATAGCTGTCCGTAGTGGGTGCCAGGCTCTGAGCCAAGCTCCCAGGCATCATCTCTTTTACAACCTGATGAGGCACTATTATTTTTTACTACTATTATTATTATTGATTAATCATCATAATAAATACTTTTCATTTACAGCAAACGACTGTGTCACAGTCACTATGAATCTAATCAGCAAACTCCTTGCACTTGACTGTCACTAAATGGGACTTAAATGTCACTTATGCTTGAATTTCACTAAAAAAGATCACATCCACATCCCCTCATTTTTATCCCAAAAACGACGCTGGGAGGGTGACAGGGCAAAGGGCCCAGTTTTCCCTATGAGGAAGCAGAGGCCTGGGGCAGGGTGAATCCTGGGCAGTGGGGATTAAGGCCCATTCTCCTGGATCCCCTCCCCTTCAACCAGATCAAATCCCACAGCAGGAGGGCCCTGCATCAGCCACTTAGGGCCTTGGAGGGCCCCTCCCACCACCCCACTGTCCCCTGCAGACTGGGTGGGTCTGGGCCTGCTCGCCTGAGCTCCAGTTCAGACCAGGCACTGACCTTGGGCCGCTTCCACCTGACAGTGGGCCCCGGGGTGCCCTTGTAGTACAGCGAGTCGTCGGTGGCTGGGAAGCTGGGGTCCTCAAAGAGCACCTTCCTGCGCAGACATTTCCGCTTCAGGGCTGAATAGTTCTGGTCTTTGTAGGGCTTCACGCAGGAGAACATGGTAGCTGCTGCCCGGAGAGGGGAGGCCAAGACAAGCCAGCAGAGGGCTGCGTGGGTGTGTGGGCGAGCCCAGGGTTACCTGCGAGGACAGAAGGCAAGAAGATCATTACTTTCTGAGGACCAGAGGCCCTGAGTCAGGTGGTCCCCACCTGCCCCCTCCCTGCAGCCCTGTGAAGTAAGCATCCTCATTCCCATTGGCTGGGAATGAAGGCTCAGAGAAGGCGAGAGACCTGCTCAGGGTCACACAGCTGGTACACACGGAGCAGGAATAGGAGCTGACTGGCCTGACTCCATAGCCTGAATTGAATTCTCTCATTTCTGATGCTTAGAGGTGACGCCAGGCCAGCAGGCCAAGGGCACAACCACATGGTGCTCCGGGCTGCCAGGCCGCATCCACTCCCGACTTTCTTTGTTTCATCAGCCTTCCCTAAACCTCTCTGGCTGGTGTCACGCCCACAGGAAAGCAGCGGCATTGTCTCCAAGTCTCTCTCCTCTGGACACTCATCCTTTAGTCTAGAGCAGCACAATTGTGCCCCGTGTGGAAAAACCTTGATCCAGGCCCCCTCCAGCCATCATTCACATTCATTCCCTCTTGTCCCCTCCCTCCAGAACTTCTAGAATAAATGTCTCCAGTTCTGTAGGCACAGTCTCATTGCTCCTTCATCCCAATGACCTAATTCCCCTGAAGACCCCCATCCCCATCACGTGGTCTCCCAATCGCCAAAGTCAGACTTTCTCAGGACAGCTTCCCAGACCACCGTGTCTCACACTCCTGAATAGCTTCTCCTGGACTTCAGAGACCCCTGGAGCTGATTCTGACCCCTGCCCCAACTCCAACCTTCCCTCTTCCACAAGAGACCCCAGTGGTCTCTCTGCTCACTCTCACCCGCCAGCTAATGATCCCTGTGTTCAGCCTGGACCCCTCTTGTGGGACCCTGACTGGCCCACTCCCTATAAGAACCAAGGGCCCCTTACGGGTACTAATCCGAAACACAACTCCTCAACTCCCCCTACACATCCCCCAGGCTCCTCAGCCCAGGGATCAGGACCACAAGCACCGATGAGACCAGAAGCCCCAGAAGGCAGAGTGTACTTGGTCTGGTCTCCATGCGCACACAGCTGCTGGCTCAGACCCTGGCACAGGAGGTGGGTGCACACATCACCCTCCCTTCTGCCCCCATGCTTCCAGGTGCCCTGAACCTTGTAGCCATATGTTAACCAAACACAAGGGACACGAACTGGACTGACTTGGCAAGACGTCTCTGGGAGAGGAGGGCAGGGTGAGGAGCGGTAGCCAGCAGGGCCTGACACATCAGACACCCTGACAGATGCTCGGACAGCCAGGCACACGACTGACATCCCCATGTATGTCCCGTATCTCAGGCTCCATCTGGGCTGCTGGCAGAGCTCCACACTCCCCTAGTCCAGGCTATACAGCCCTCCAGGCTATATAGCAGCCAGCAATGCTGGGAAGATTTGCTCG